GGTTGTGGTTGGTGGCTTGGCTGTGGTGGGCACTGGTGTTGCGGGCTCTGGTTTGACTGTGGCTGTGGGTTTTGGCAGGGCTGTCATTGGGGTGGATGGGCTTGCCTTTGTTGTCACAGGGGCTGGAGTGGTCTCTTCTACAATGGGTTCTGGTGAGAGATGAAAAGTGCCACGGGTTAGGGCTGGGGTCTGCTGCCCTCAACGGATCCCCTGCCCTGAGCAGGGCCAGCAGAAATCAGTGAGGGGGTGAAGCAGCAGCTGACCCCTCTCAGGGCACTCTGGGCCATCCCCCACTCTGGGTTTCCCAACCTGGAGACATCTCCTCTCTCTCACACAACCTCCTGCCCCTCAAGGCATCCTCACGGGGCACCAGGTCTTGGCCAAGGGGGTAGGAGGTCCTTGGCTGACCCTCCTCCTCTGGAGGCAGCTGACCTGCCTTAGGGGCTGCCATCACACCTGATGTCTTATGATCCAGCCCTGGAACTGCTGCTCCAGGGCTTCCTGATAGCTCCAGGAGGGTTCAGAGCTTGGACCCCAACCCGGGGGTCGGAGTCCCAGTAGCCTGTCAAGGGACACGTGCCGCTTGGCTTCACTCACCGCACAAGGAGTCGACGCAGACGCTGCCTTCAGGACACTGTGAACACGAGGGTCCTTCTTTGTACGGCTTTCGGCCTTTCATATTACCCCTGGAAGGAGAAGACGCCAAGAAAAAGGAGGAGTGAGGAGAGAGGGAAACACCCATCCCAAAGAGAGGGTCTGATTCAACCGGAATATCCCAGCCAAGACAAAACTCAGGATTAATGTAAAAAACAGGTCCTGGGCTGCTGCCACAGACTGTCAGCGCCGTTTACTCAACAGCCTGACCCTGAGGCTGCTGAAACCCGGTGAGACAGCTCCATGGACCAGGTCCTTCACCATCCCTTAGAACAGAGCAGTCGATGGGCATTTGGCTGCGTATTTTCTCTCCCTTCTGCTCAAGACCCCTGAGAAAGTCTGCAGCGACCGGCCGCTCTCGTTGGTCTCATCAGCTCCAAGCAAGTGGTCCCCAAGGCCAGCCCCAGGGCACCCACCTCTCCCCCCTCCCCGGGTCTGTGCCAGGAGCTGAACCAGACCTCAGCAATCGCAATCACGGGCAAGGATCACCAGACAACCCTTCCTTCCTTTGTGACCAACCCAAGATAACAAAGGCCTTTCTTGGAATCGCTTTGCTTTTATTTCTGAACGAGGTCAAACCCTGCTCTGCTCTAGGGACTGAAGGACATTTCCAGCACAGAAACCCCAGCAAGATGCACCGAGCCACCCGAGCCATGGGACTTACGGGGGATAATAGTTGCAAACAAGCAGGTACATGTCCTCTGTTTCAATCCCGTCGATCTTCTCACAAAACTTTGACCCGCAGCCGATCTTATGTGTGCTTGCCCAGACCACCTAAGGCAGAGACCAGGGGTGAAGGCAAGGAGATCGGGAGAAGGCAGATGCCCTGTTAGCAGCCTGTCCCCTGGCCTTGAAGGCTACTCTGTCACTACACCAATGTCCCCCTCATCTCCTAGCATTTGCCCCAGATCCCACATCCCCACGTTGCTTTAGCATTCAGGATTCTGTCCCTTGCTCCCATCTGGACCACCTTCCCAACCAGGGTGGCCACCCACATATTCAAGAGCCACAGCTTTCCTACCATATTGTCTACCCAGATAGAGCATCGCCATCTCTGCTTTGATCCTGGAACCATCCATCCATCCATCCATCTGTCCATCCATCCCTCCATCCTCATGTCTACCACCACCATTTGCTCCTCCTTGCTCCCACCCAAGCTGCGAAGAAACAACAAGACCTCAGATCTCTGCCTAAGACAAGCTGGCACTCAGCTCTGCCCAGTAGCCAAAAAAGGCGTTGCAGCAGAGCTTGTTTAGAAGAGGTCTTCTCCAAAAAGGCTGGTCACAGCTGGCACCATGCCCAGGTCCCCCTGTATCATCGAGATTCCTGCCTGGCTCCTCATCCCTTTGCAAAGACCCTGGGAGGAGCTGGAGCTCCTTTTGCCAACAACCCCATCCCTCTGCCCCACCAGCTCAGTACCTGGGTGTAGTGGCCACACATCTGCCCAGGGACACATGTGGATGTCGTCAGGTTGTAGTATTTCTCCTCCCCGTTCCAGTCTTCCACTGCGAACTCCAGGTCCAGGATTGGGGCCATAGCGAAGAGGTTCTCCCCTCGCCGTCCCCTCTCCTTGTTGTGGTCCCAGATACACTTCTCTGCATAAGCTTGAGCAAAGGCCGCCAGCTCCGGGTCCCAGCTCTGCAAGGAGCTCGGTGTCAGCATACGGAGAGGGACGTGGGGCTCTCCGATGTACCCAAGGACACGCACCAAGGACCCATGGGCTCTCTGGCTGCGATTTCCCCATTCGTGAGTAAAATTCAAATCCCGACATAACACGGTCCTCAGGAGAGGGGAGGTCCCCAGTCAGTCCCAGCACAAACCAAAGCTCATCTCACGGGTCAGACAGGGGACGGTCAGTGCATCAGCACAACGCTCACACCCATCCCCAGGGCACCTCCATCATCATCATCATCATGGAGCATCCTCGAGCCAGCGTGGAGAAACCGTGAAGCCGGATGGAGGAAGGGACAAAACTCACCGCAGGTCACACCGGAGGGGACCTGGGGACATTCCTGTTTGCCCAGGGTGGGGATGGGAGGAGAGCAGGACACATCTCCCCCCGACACTGCCCAGAGCCCGGGAGCACACGCTCCTGTGAAGCATCATCTGCTCACCTGGACCCGA